TATGATGTATTAGATCGAATATACATATCTGTTATATAGAAAAATGAATAATATTATTCTGTATATTCTATCTTTCCGATATTTCGATATATTTTATATTTTTTGTTAGATATAAACATCTTATATTTATATTTACTGCTATGTCTAGAGTACGTATACAATCTGATGCACCCCTATTTTCTCGGGAAGATTATTCTTATATTATGGAATGTCATGATATAAAGCCAAGATACAAAATTTTAAAAGAATTATTAGATAAATATAAAACATCGTCAAAACGGATTTATCAGATCTGGAGAGGAGAAGAAGCTAATAGGGTTACTTGGGATCAACCTATACCTCAATCATATAAAATAAATAATATATATAGCTACGAAGTACCAGGCTTCAGCAATAATTCATCTAATATAAATAGCTATAAAGCTAGTCTCTCAACTAATGTGAATCACTCTGAAGTTTTACCAGATAAATCAGCAGAAATGGGACGACCAAAGATTCAAAGCTCTACTTCCTCACGTGCAGTAAAAAAAAGTACTTCTCCTACAGATAATACATTAAGAAGAAAGAATGATCTTGAAAAATTAATGAAAAATACTAAAAGATTAGCTCCTATTCTTCTATCTTTGTCTCAGTAAGTTGAGAACATCTTTCTGCAAGAACCTTACCTGCATTTAGAGCCATATCAAGCCACTCTTCAGTTTTTATGAGTCGCTTTTCAAGCTCTTTGCACTTTTTTTTAAATCATTTTCACTAGTCAGGCTAGAGGAAATTTGGGCTGAATTATTCGGGAAGGATTCCTGAGAGACTACCTTCTGCTCCTTTTTTGGCGGATCCTTAGCTACTGAAGCTTTGTTATATGTTGGAATAACATAGGTCTTCCCATGTAACTTTATGCGAAACAGGTTTTTATTTGGCTCGGGGATGCCTTGAAGCTTTCAAATATTTGACATATCTAAAAATAGCATTGGTTCAGGTTCGCCATTATCAATACAAACAAAATTTCTAATAATTGTGACAGTTTTGTTTTCTTTATCCTTCAGAGTAACTGGCACATCTGTGTATCATCCTAATGAATCGGTAATATGTTTGGAATTTCCCTTTATAGCAAAATCAGATGGCTCATCAATCTTCCATCCAAGTGCGTGAATTGCTGAATCATTTATTGCACCGAATTCACTTCCAGTATCTAAGAAAGAATCAGGAATTGTTAGATCATTTATATTACAATGCAAGTACTGTAAAGATGAAAACCACTCATCTGATTTTTTTAACTCCTTCTCCAGAGCCTTTCGGGACAAGCACATTTTTCGTATTAGTGGTAAAAGCTTAGACAATAGCTGATTATATGTTTCAGGCTTGTTATTTTCTATTGGTACCTGTTTTTTTTTACTAGTGGATCATACCCGGTCCACCTATTATTTTCTTCATCATAACCTTCTTCCCCATTATCCGAATCTGGGGGTGTGTTTTGGAAATTTATAGGTGTAAGAGGCTTAAAATAAGCAGACCGATTGAAATTAGATCATGCTATCTGTCTATTAGGGCAACTATCTTTACTATGGCCTGTCTCTCCGCAAATAACACATTTACGTATGTATACTT